ACCAAAAAGCTCAAGGACTTCGTCTTCAAAAATATTGTGTGCCGTTATGGGATAAGAATTGGAGTATATGAGTTGGTGCTCTGCATGCTTAACGTTATAGATCTGATAACGGGAAGCAGTTCGATAACGAGGAGTTTAAGCAGTTTTGCGACGAGCTGGACATCCATAAGAAATTCACCTCAGTCACAAGGCCGCAAGTAAATGGTCAAGTTGAAGTTGTCAACAAAACCATCAAGCACACTCTGAAGGCCAAACTTGGCGCAACAATGGGAAATTAGGCCGACGACCTTCCTGAAGTTCTATGGTCATACAGGACAACTCCGAGAACCTCTACCTCAGAAACCCCTTTTTCGCTAGCATATGGCTGCGAAGCAATGATCCCTATGAAGGTAGGAACCGGTTCACTTCGGAGGGACCTGTTCAACGAGACAGACAATGAGGCTAGTTGAAGAACATCGCAACAAGGCTCAACTAAGAATAGCAGCCTATTAGCAACGCGCGGAAAGGTTCTTCGACTCTAAGGTTAGAAAAAGAGATTTCCAGGTCGGCGACCTCATTTTAAAGGAAGTCATTCTCAGTACTAGAGAACCAAGTGCGGAAGTTTTGGGATCGAACTAGGAAGGCCTATATCGCATCGTCAAAGTGATAAGACCGGGGACTTATCATCTCAAAAGGCTAAATGGTTTCGAAGTACCACGAGCTTGGAATGCTAAACATCTCCGACCATATTATCAGTAATTCCGAACTCAATTTTTCCTTGTAAAGATTTTACCTTTCTTAAATCTTTGTAAATAACAAGTGTATAATTATGTTCTTTTGTAATCATTTTCCCATGTATATAATTATGTTTGCATAGACTTGTTCCAGTGTTATTGTAAACAGTTAGAATGCGATCTCATGTATAACAGGGTACGGAAGTTGTAAGTACTCATGAAAGATTAAGAAAGACATGTATTTATTCATTAATAAAAAGGAAAGTACACAAGCGAGCGGGAAAAAGACACCAAAAGTAAAAGTAATCATTAGCCTTCATCCCCAATTCTCGAAGGTGCGACCTCATCGTCCCCAGGCTGATTGTCGATCACCTAGCCGACCGCGGGCTCCCCTGGGACATACTCCGGATGCTCTTCCAGGTCAAGTCCTCGGGCGGCCTCCGCTGCATCCTCATTGTCAAGCCACGCCATTGATCTAAGGATGTCCTGGTATTCCTTTGGGAGATCGGATATATCCATTTTGGGATTCTTCGGCCGTAGGGTATAGATGGACTGAATTGCCCATTCAGCAGCCTTCTTCTCGATCTCCGACTCTTATCGCTGCATCTTTCCAGTCAGCGAAGTGATTCTTCCCTGACTAGCTTGAAGTTTGGCCTCAAGTGCCCACCATTATTTCTCAGTGGCCTCCCATAGCTCGCCTCTTTCATGCTTTGCTCATAAGGCCCGTCGGGAGGTTGTTTTCAGCTCCTGGTCTTTCTCGCCAGCCTCCCTGGTGAGTCTGGCCACTGTCTTCTGGAGCTCTTTTATCTCCTCTCTGTGCTTCTCTAGCTCGACCTTCTGAAAGTCCACCGTGTGAAGAGCAGCATTCCTTTCATTCAGGTACTGGTTCACCGAAACAGTTGATAAGTCTTTCTCTACTTCAACGGCTTCTAGGTCCCGTTTGAGCCCCGCGTTCTCTTCTCTCAGCGCGACCATCCCCTCGGCAGCTCCCAACTGGATCTTTTGTAGGGACAATTGCATAGAGAGCAAAGCCTGTGAACGAAAAGAGTAACAAGTTAGTTTCCTTGCTACTGAAAAGAATAAATGTAAAGTCCTCGCCGAGGACAACTCGTTCTACCTTGCTCAGGTGCTGGATGGATGTGGACATCAAGTCCACAAGATTGGAAGCCACGAACTTCTCAAAAGCCTCCGCGAGCCTGCATTCCAGCAGGATAAAAACCATCGGCTGCAGATGATTCGGAAGTTGTCCCATCGAGCCTAGCACAGGAGTGTCCATGCCCGCGCCTCTAACAGGAGTCGTATTGCCCGTCGATTCCTTGCCCGGTCTCCTCCCAGGGTTCGTGACCTCGCTCTGCCTTGTTTGCGGTTCCCCCAGAACAATGGAGATGTCGGTGCACCCTTGGCAAGCCCTCCCAAGCGGAACGCTTGGTAAGGCTACGACCTTTAGGGCTGAACGCCCAGACCCTCCAGTTAGGACTCTGACTCTTCAGTCCGAAGTTGCTTTCGCTTTTTAGACTTTTGGGCCATGGTCTTCTGCTTCGGGCAAACAACCGAAGGTTGAGGAACCCCAATAGGTCATACTGGAGCACCCGTCGGAGTCCTTCAGGGGGGGACCGTTGGGAGCAGCTCCAGTTGGTCCGGTGGCGCCTACTCGGGGGAAGGTGAACTGCCTCAGTCGTGGTGATCTGGACACTTTAGGAGGCATGGTCGCTGCATGCGAGCATCGTTAGCAAAATAGTTCGCTACATGAAAAATCCAAAAATAAGCTAAGGTTATGAAGCTTACTCGATGTGGTCTCTAGGGTCGCTTCGGAGTTGAAGAAACCATACTTCCGTAAATTTGTGGTTGTCACGACCAATCTTGCGTCGCAACTCTCTTCGGGCAGAAAGTCGAAGGTGGTGATCCTGTCTGAATCCTCGAGGAGCATTAAATTGGTCGTTTTGTTAACTACGAAGAAACAAAAAGCTCATTAGCAAAGAACAAAAGTAAGTTCGCAAACACAAAAGAAAGGAGAACCTACTTGGCTCCTGAAAATGGCAAATGCCATCATGACAAAAGAAAAAGAACTTCCTCTCGTATGCCCCTACGTTGCTCGGGTAACTATGTATTCCCGCTTCGATGGTAGGTCGCTTGGAGAGATAGTAGGAATCCTTGTCCTTACTTTTTTTTTTTCAGAATGTACGAGCAACCGAGCTCTACTATGGTTAGCTCGCCCAATCCGTTTTCGCCGCACGCGATGTACGCAGCCACGACTATCATATACGCGTTCGGTGTAAGCTGTAATGGTGCGATCATGAAATGATCGAGGATCGACCTGATAAAAGGGTGGAAAGGGATCAACCCTCCACTCTTGAAAATATTCTCGGAGATCACAACCATCCCTTGTGGCAGACTCCGAGCTGTGTGTACCTTATCTCGAAAGACCTCCATGCTGAGAGCGTATTGGTCTATCACCTTCTGAATATCCTCGGAAGTAATCATCGACATGATCTCTTGAGGGGGACCCGCAGGAGCATCCTGCACAGGCGAATTGGTCCCTTCCTCAGCTCTGGTTGTTGGGGGGTCCATTCTACTGCGGTATGCAAAAGCGACATGCAGGGAATCATTTAGTCCTCGTACACTGTTTCGTACGATGATGTGGAGGAGAAAGTAAAAAAGCTTCCTCCCTTAAACCCTAGAAAAACCCTAACAGAATACTTTTAGAGCCACCATCAATGGCTCAAACCCAAGGATAAGATTTCGTCTCCGATCAACGAATAGCAGGCTATCATCGCATGGCAACTATCGAAACCAAGAAATAATAAAAGTGGCAGAGAAACCATCCTTACCTATTGGAATGAGAAGATGAATCCTCCTGCTTCGAATATCAAGCGCGCACCAGTCTGACAGACCAAGAACCAAGGTCACGAAAATTTCTTGCTCTCTCTAAGAAGATGAATATTGTGACATTGCCTAAAGTGAGCTTGGGGTTTTATAGTGAAGGAAGTGGCGCCTTGGTTTCCAGAAGTCAAACGATATTTGGGCAAAAAACGCATCTGACCGTTGATCGCGACCACGTGTCACGAATCAATTGAGAAGAGTGACCGTCACTCTTCGAGAAACCAAATCGTCGTTTTCTTTCATTGAAACACTCAAGCGACGACATGTTTTCCCTCCTCCACATTGCATGCGCCCACATTCATATTTAATGCTCTGATAGGGAATGTCGTTTCAGCATGGCGCGCATTTAATGCGCATGCCTGACACTTATTGTGCACAGGACACGTCTGTCAGAGTAAAAGATATTTTATTAAATGCATCAGCTATAAGAGTGCAACGGATAACATCTGAAGAGGTCGTTATATATAACATTCCTCGTCTTATGTCGGTCACGAAGCGACGTGACTCTTCAATCTTGTCTTACAACAGTTGCGAAGCGACGTGACCCGTTCGGTGAAAATTCCACTAAGTGCAATAAGGTCGTAGACCTCGGTCGAAAACTAGTCATCGTTATGGCACTAAACATAGTCTAAGGATAGGTCGCTGACCCTAAAGAGCAAGCCATGTCAGGTCGCCTACGCAGAAATGTTTCTTCGACCTCTTTGAATCTAGGTCGAATCGACCAGTATCTCGTCAAACGTATCAAATCAAGGCATAATATGTAGTTTCCAAGGTTCGATTCTCAAACCTTAAAAACTAGCGGACTTCTGTTATGCTTGAAAAAGTAGGGCTAACGCAAAACCCTGTTAACGTAAGTGGTCAAGGCTTAGGTAAGTCCAGCAGCCATTCAGACGAAGCCACATCGCACGTTGACGCAAGTGGCACGCTCCTGCCAATGTAGTAGGTGTGCGTCAAGCTGGTGAAAGGTTGGAGGCGATCCACGTGTCCAATCCCTTCAAGAATCGAGTAAATCACTCGAGCAGGTGAATAACGGACATAAGGAAGGATTTGCACGACAATCTGACCCACTTCCTGATTTAGTAATCATTACCTCAATTCATCCCACTATAAATAGGGGGCTCCTCTCCTGTTTGTGGGATTAGCTAATTTCTCTCTAGAATAGTAGATACTCTCTCTCTCTCTCTCTCTCTCTCTCTCTCTCTCTTGTAATCTTCTGTAAATTAGCTTGCTGAACATGACCTGATCTCATATATTAATACGATACCAGTGGACGTAAGATTCACTTATTTAAGCATTTGAACCACTTTAAACACCGTTCTTTACTCTTTATTTAACTCAATACCCCAGTACATGTGTATCTTCTGAGTCGGTTCAATAGTTCCCACATGCGTTTAGTTGGTGTCAAAATCACGCATCAACAATGTATACCATCCATCCAACCCTGATTGTGCTGAATGAATCAGCAGGACCACCTTCAATTGCAATTACGGATGAGCTAAATTGTCCAGGTTCGACTGCAGGATTGCAGATACTAATGTATCCAGCACCTCCATGGTACACTGTACTTTGTTTCCGTCCCAAAAATTCCTGCAAACTAAAACATGGAGAAGGATTACTGCTCAGAAATGTAGTGTGTTAACATTTGCAAATACTTGTAACTTACTTTGGGCTTGATTATATCATCTGCATTTGCCTGATAAAAACTTGGAAAAAGTTTTCTGAAACTGGTTTTTGCTCTTAACAGTTCTTCCTTTGTTGTCCTCCGAATGGGGACGGTTCCTGATGGACATTCATCATCCAAGCCGATATATACTGATGAAATTCCTGATGGCCTGCTGGCCCTAGCATTGATGAATTCTGAGCAAAGCTCGGCCTAGTCTGTGAGGCAATCACATTAGATGATCAGTATGGAAGGTTCAAAATTAGATTATTAAATATCGGTTCAATCAAGAAGAAATTTTTCGTTTGGAGGGATTTGTATTTAGGCTTCAAAACGGGCTAACTATCCAATGGAGTGATATGACAACCTTATTAGGACACAAGATCCATACGGTGAAGAGTTTGTTATATCTCACATCGTTAGTGAATGAGTATGAGATTTACTTTATAAAGTTTTATTCATCGTAACTAAGTAAATGCATTTTAGGAGACATACACTTAGGTAGATCGACAATTTCTACTTGGTTAGACCTGAATCTCAGAGATGCACCACTTGTGAAACACTTAATCCCAAAACTTGAACTTATAGAACCCAAAAGACAAATGCAGCTATAAAAATTGAGTAATACTAGCCTTACAAAGAGACATACAAAGAAGCATATAAAGAGACAAATCTAACCTTTAAATTTCTTTCTTTTAAGGGTTGGATTTGTCTCTTTGTATGCCTCTTTGTAAGACTAGTATTATTCATAAAAATTTTATGCTTACACTATGTACAGAGATTAAGTTAAAGAAAGAAATGGACCTGGATTTTGTGATCTTTAAGCAAGGGATGGTCAAGAGATGGCTGTTTATATTGATCCACACAATCGTAAATGTCTCCATAGATAGTCTGCAACAAAATTCAATTATCTAATAAAATAGTATTACCAATTAGCTCGATAGATAAAATTTCTTGTAAACATTAAGAGGTCTTGAAATCGAATCTCGCCTCAAACAACTATTGATTGTCGATATCTTTGTAAGTCCGTTTAAAAAAAAGGAGTAATATAAAGTATAATCGAGTACCCTGATGGTCTTCACAGCAGGCTTATTCAAGGAGGCAAGCTCCCTCTCCAACTCCAAATTTTCTTCAATTGATAGAGCTCTGATTTTTCCTTGACTAACAATAAGAAATAATGTAAAATAAATGATTAAAGACATTAGTAAAACTCTAATTTCGCCCATGAGATCTCAGTTCAAGGACCCTGCAAGCTTAATCATTATATATTCCTCTAATTATATTCATATTCCTTTGCCGGATTGTCACATTTAATTGACTTAATTATTTCATTTAAAGGTAAAACTAAAATCCGGGTTTCATTCATGAAAATAAGAACCTATAAATGTCAATCCAAGTTTATAGTTACACTCAGATTCGTTGTACTTCTTAAAAAGGAAAAAGAAAATTAACATGTCTTTATGAGGCCTGGCTGTAATTACTCAATAATCATAATCTAATTTAAACTTAAAAAATGTTATACATGCATGCAAACTATTTATATTGAGTAATGCATGAATACTGTCAGTGTCAGATCACCCATTTTAATTTCTGTACATTAATTTTTTATTTTTGTTGCTCAAATTACATGATTTTACCATTAATTTGTATAATTTCGTATAAGAGTTGAAATTTAAAAATTCATAATATTTATATTTTAGTTAAAATTATAAATGTTATTAGAGACTGAAATGTTGGTGAACACTGGGTTAATTAAGTGTAAATTACTTTATTGATAGATCACCAAGACCCATCACGCAAGTTCACAGGATGAGAAAGAAAGGGAATAATTAAGAATAATACTATATATACAACATTTTTATACAACATGACGTGAAAAAAAAATGATTGGGTGAATTTTTTTTTTATTTATTTAAAATTAGCCAATCACTTTTGTTAACTTCATGTTATATGAGAAATGTTGTATGTGTAGTATTAAAAAATGGGCACAGGTCGGTCGAGTCAGGGAATGGAGTCCCTGTCCTCGTAATCGGCTCTTGGGGAAATACCTCTCGAGTTGTCAACGAATAACGAATGCCCCCCCCTGAATGGTGAGTAAGCCCCACGGGTAATTTCCCCCCGAATGGGAAGTAGTCCCCCTAGGGAATTTTCCCTGCAAATGGGGAATAGTCCCCGTTGGATCATTTTCTAATTTCTATATAAATTTTATCAACTTAATGCCTTAAATATCTTAAAGAGTGGGGAACTTGCAATTGCCATGAGTCCAACAATTATCCAAATACCCAAAATAAATAAAATAACAACTAGAAAATGGCTAATTAGTTTATATGTTAAGTTAAACATAATCTTGCATAGGACATAACCTACATTCAGAACCTTTTGTTCTGAAAATCCCAAAAAATCATTTGAAGCTAATTATGTATGAAGAATATGTCAATTTGAGAGATTAATTGTTTAATTGTGGAGTTTTGGACTTGTGACTTCATACATCTAAGATTAAGAGTTTTAATTTCTATGTAACACCAAACTTGGTCTTACATTTAAGATTAAGAGTTTGAGTTTCAATTTCTATTAGATTATGTTAATATGTTAATAGTTTATATTTAATTTACAAACTATTAAATTAAAATGTATAGTAGCCCTAGCATTTGATGAATATGTTTTCTGAGCGAAGCTCAGCCTAGTCTGTGAGGCAATCACATTAGATGATCAGTACTAACTATGGAATGTTCAAAATTAGATTATTAAATATCAGTCCAATCAAGAAGAAATTGTCCATTTAGAGGGATTTATATTTGGGCTTCAAAACGGGCTAACTAACCAATGGAGTGATATGACAACCTCATCAGGACACAAGATCCATATGCTGAAGTGTTTGTTACATCTCATATAGTTAGTGAATGAGCTTGGGATTTACTTTATAAAGTTTTATTCATCATAACCAAGTAAATGCATTTTGGGTGATATACACTTAGATGAAACCTACCCATACAGACAATTTCTACTTAATTGGACCTGGATTTGACAAATGCACCACTTTTAAAACACTTAATCCCAAAATTTGAACTTATAGAAGAACCCAAAAGAGAAATGCAGCTATAGAAATTTCATGCTTACACTGTGTGCAAAGATTAAGTTAAAGAAAGAAATGGACCTGGATTTTGTGATCTTTAAGCAAGGGATGGTCAAGAGCTGGCTGTTCATATTGATCCACACAATCGTAAATGTCTCCATAGATAGTCCGCAACAAAACTCAATAAGGTTTAGTGTTTTTTGGAAAGAGATTATGAAAACAGCAACACAAGTAGTATTTTTCATTTTACGGGGAAAAAACAAATATCTGGAAAATGAAATTTAACTGGCCCTTATTGTTTGTTGGAGCTGCATTTCAGTGTACAGTGTTGGAGGTCAAGGTAATTGAAGGGCATGGAACAACAATTGATGTTGTGTTGGTCAATGGTGTGCTTCATGAGGGAGATCAAATTGTTGTTTGTGGCTTGCAGGCAAGCATCGATTAACCCACTCCCCTATTTGGCATAAAATCTGATGTAAAGCTGTTTCTAGATTCTCACGACTAAATTTCATTTTAGGGACCCATTGTTACCACAATTCGAGCTTTATTGACGCCCCATCCAATGAAGGAACTCCGAGTTAAGGTAAGTTTTTTCTTTTCAAAGTTGTTCCTCATGTGTCATATATTTCTATTCTCTGTTAAGTAACACTTCTGAATCGTAGAAAGGTGTATTGTCACTTAATGAGTAGTGTACATCAATAGATGAAGCTTTACATGCTCTTCTTGCATCATATTAGTAAAGCATTTTGATTTCAATTGGATGGACTTAACTGATAAAGCTTTTAAACACTTTGAAAGGCAAGCATGCACGAAAGCTGTTTTGTTGGCTTTAATGATAGTGAATTATCTACAGGATTGAACATGTGCATATAACACTTTTGATGTAAAGATCGGTGAGTGTTAGTGCTCCTTCAACCATTAGCACAATTGCATGGTGGAATAATGTGCTATATATTTGGGAGTCTTTAAGAGTCACAAGTTGGTGGAGAATGGGATGTAAATATGAGTATGATTTAAGAGATGAAACCACGAGTACGAGGTGAGTTGATTTAGTGACCAGTTCTGTCTATTATTAATAGCCTAGATTGTAGATATCTTAGGTGGAAGTTGTTGAAGGGCCTTTATCCTGTTAAAATCAGTGTTAGAGATGTATGGTTGGAGAGAGAGTCAGCCCCCAAATGGTTTTTTTAGGGACCTGAACATTACCCTTCAATGAGAAACTAGGCTCTGTTTGGTTCACAATTTTGTGTTTTTGGGAAAAGTTTTTTGAAAAAAGTTAAAAAAAAGTTGAATTGGGCGGTATTACGAGGTAGGATTTATAAATTATAAAATACCCCCTATGTTTATTTTTTTACAAAACACCCCTTATATAAAACATTAAAAGTTAACAAACACCCCCAATCCCCCCTCAAATACGGACAGCGCGGCCACCACCACCGGAGGGTGGCCGGAGTCGCCGTAACAAAAACATTAAAAATATTAGGGGTATTTATTGAATTAACATTTAGGGGATTTAAAAAATGTTGAATAAAGTTGAATAATATTGTGAGTTTTTGGGTATTTTACTGTTTAACTTTTTGGGAATACTAAAAAGTATTCCCAAAATCCAACCAAACGAAGCCTAGAATCTATAATTATATTTGCTTCTGTGTTTGGGGAGGGCAGTGCATTAGGTATGTCAATCTCATAAATAAATTAGCAATTTAGGTTCAAATTTGAACGTTTGGACATTAGGGTGGCATCCTCCACATACATTCTTTTAACTAGTGGTTATAACCAGAATTTTGAAGTGGACTTCTTGTGCTCATTTGCATTCATTGCGGTGACCTCTTTGCACTCTGTGTTTATAGATCAAGCGTTTTTCTTCTGTCCCGGAGATGAAGCCTCAATTATTTCATGATATACTGGGAATCCATTAGAGATGCCTCCTGATTGTTTTCGGATTGTCTTTCGAATACAACAATGCGGTGATATACAAGATGCAAATACGCAAAGCAAGTATTGAGGCAAAAAGCTGAGAATTACCGTTGGCTATTATGTGGAAAATGTCAGGTCTTCTAGCATTTCAAGTTTTGTTAACAAATTTTTCACTGATGTTTTGAGATGAATAAAATGTTTAATGGTTTTTGTTGTGAAATACAAATCCAGTATAAAACTCTTTTATACATTCATTCTAGTTGCAGGAGCTCTTGTTTTCTGGAAATTATTACTCTTTTACACCCCATGAGATTAGTTTAAGTCTATTTATATATGCAAATTGCTTGCCATAAATTAATTTAAAACTAATATGGATTTTTGATAGTACTCTGCTTCTAGAGTTTCTGAGAACACTCGTTCACATCCCCACCATTCCCACCAAAATAAAAGCTGTAACCCCAGTAAATCCTTTGTAGGAATTATCTCCAGCCTTGTAGCATTTGTTTTTATAACATTAATTGGCGCATCCATGCTCCCATTTAGACCTGACCCTGCTTCATATTTCACTGCAACTTGCCTAAAATGGCAACTATACAGCTCCCCATTGTCTCCGTTATAGCTGGCATATTTTGTGTTGTGGTGTATGCATTCCTCCCCAACCAATAATTTCACCTCCATTCTTCAGATATGTGAACAGACTGTTTGGCCAGTACCCAATTGTTTCCCATTTTCGCCATACACGAGCCACCATTTCCCGTTTTCCTTATCCTGTAATAATCAAATTACCCAATCAAGAAAATGCAGTTTTCTATGACACAGAGATATAGCTTAGTAAAGATGGGATGTTTGTACCAGGGATTTACCTGATTGATTTCCAGTGGATGTATATTGAGTTCCACCACAACTGAAATTGTTTCAAGGACCATCCCCAGTGCTATTGTGGTATCTGTTTGGACGAAACCTGAACAATATGTGTTGTAGCAACCATGAGAAATTCACCCGGCGGCTTGCTGATGAAGAAAGCATGTAGCATTTTGATTATTACAATACCGAGACCAAGATAAAGAAGAAACACTTACCCCCAAACGTATATAGGCGAGTGAAACTGTCCTTGAGAGATCTATATTGACCTGGAATAATTTGCAGAAAATTACTCAAGAGCTCTTCAGAAATTTCATAAAACTAAGTTCTGGAGAATATATATCCATCCATCCAACCCTGATTGTGCTGAATGATCGCAACCACCTTCAATTGCAATTACGGATGAGCTAAATTGTCCAGTTCGACTGCAGGATTGCAGATACTAATGTATCCAGCACCTCCATGTACACTGTACTTTGTTTCCGTCCTGTAAAAATTCCTGCAAACTAAAACATGGAGAAGGATTACTGCTCAGAAATGTAGTGTGTTAACATTTGCAAATACTTGTAACTTACTTTGGGCTTGATTATATATCTGCATTGCCTGATAAAACTTGGAAAAAGTTTTTCGAAACTGGTTTTTGCTCTTAACGTTCTTCCTTTGTTGTCCTCCGAATGGGGACGGTTCCTGAGGGACATTCATCATCCAAGCCGATATGTACTGATGAAATTCCTGATGGCCTGCTGGCCCTAGCATTTGATGAATTCTGAGCAAAGCTCGGCCTAGTCTGTGAGGCAATCACATTAGATGATCGTATGGAAGGTTCAAAATTAGATTATTAAATATCGGTTCAATCAAGAAGAAATTGTCCGTTTGGAGGGATTTGTATTTAGGCTTCAAAACGGGCTAACTATCCAATGGAGTGATATGACAACCTTATTAGGACACAAGATCCATACGGTGAAGAGTTTGTTATATCTCACATCGTTAGTGAATGAGTATGAGATTTACTTTATAAAGTTTTATTCATCGTAACTAAGTAAATGCATTTTAGGAGACATACACTTAGGTAGATCGACAATTTCTACTTGGTTAGACCTGAATCTCAGAGATGCACCACTTGTGAAACACTTAATCCCAAAACTTGAACTTATAGAACCCAAAAGACAAATGCAGCTATAAAAATTGAGTAATACTAGCCTTACAAAGAGACATACAAAGAAGCATATAAAGAGACAAATCTAACCTTTAAATTTCTTTCTTTTAAGGGTTGGATTTGTCTCTTTGTATGCCTCTTTGTAAGACTAGTATTATTCATAAAAATTTTATGCTTACACTATGTACAGAGATTAAGTTAAAGAAAGAAATGGACCTGGATTTTGTGATCTTTAAGCAAGGGATGGTCAAGAGATGGCTGTTTATATTGATCCACACAATCGTAAATGTCTCCATAGATAGTCTGCAACAAAATTCAATTATCTAATAAAATAGTATTACCAATTAGCTCGATAGATAAAATTTCTTGTAAACATTAAGAGGTCTTGAAATCGAATCTCGCCTCAAACAACTATTGATTGTCGATATCTTTGTAAGTCCGTTTAAAAAAAAGGAGTAATATAAAGTATAATCGAGTACCCTGATGGTCTTCACAGCAGGCTTATTCAAGGAGGCAAGCTCCCTCTCCAACTCCAAATTTTCTTCAATTGATAGAGCTCTGATTTTTCCTTGACTAACAATAAGAAATAATGTAAAATAAATGATTAAAGACATTAGTAAAACTCTAATTTCGCCCATGAGATCTCAGTTCAAGGACCCTGCAAGCTTAATCATTATATATTCCTCTAATTATATTCATATTCCTTTGCCGGATTGTCACATTTAATTGACTTAATTATTTCATTTAAAGGTAAAACTAAAATCCGGGTTTCATTCATGAAAATAAGAACCTATAAATGTCAATCCAAGTTTATAGTTACACTCAGATTCGTTGTACTTCTTAAAAAGGAAAAAGAAAATTAACATGTCTTTATGAGGCCTGGCTGTAATTACTCAATAATCATAATCTAATTTAAACTTAAAAAATGTTATACATGCATGCAAACTATTTATATTGAGTAATGCACGAATACTGTCAGTGTCAGATCACCCATTTTAATTTCTGTACATTAATTTTTTATTTTTGTTGCTCAAATTACATGATTTTACCATTAATTTGTATAATTTCGTATAAAGAGTTGAAATTTAAAAATTCATATATATTTATATTTTAGTTAAAACTATAAATGTTATTAGGGAATGAAATGTTGGCGAACACTGGGTTAATTAAGAGTAAATTACTTTATTGATAGATCACCAAGACCCATCACGCAAGTTTACAGGATGAGAAAGAAAGGGAATAATTAAGAATAATACTATACATATAACATTTTTATACAACATGACGTGAAAAAAAATAATTGAGTGAAAGTTTATTTTTTATTTAAAATCAGCTAATTACTTTTGTTATCTTCATGTTATATGAGAAATGTTGTATGTGTAGTATTAATAAAAATGGGCGCCAGTGAGTCAAGTCGGGGAATAGGGTCCCCGTCCCCGTAATCAACCCTCGGGGAAATTCCCCTCGAGTTGGGGTGTCAGGGGATCCCCATCACCGACCCACGGAGAATATAAATCTAATATATATATATATATATATTAGATTTTTTAATTGTTTTTTTTAACTTGGTTTTTTATTAATATTTTTTTTTAATCAATTTAGAGGTTACTGGTTATATAATATTTCCAATGTTTAATATTAATCAATCTCTTTCAAAAAAACCAATAAATAAATAATTTAATAAATTTTGACATTGGATACAATTTGGAGTTTTGGACTTGTGACTTCATACATCTAAGATTAAGAGTTCTAATTTCCATGTAACACCAAACTTGGTCTTACATTTAAGATTAAGAATTCTAATTTCCATTAGATTGTGTTAATATGTTAATAGTTTATATTGATAATTGAGTTTTGTTGCAGACTATCTATGGAGACATTTACAATTGTGTGGATCAATATAAACAACCAGCTCTTGGCCATCCCTTGCTTAAAGATCACAAAATCCAGATCCATTTCTTTCTTTAACTTAATCTTTGTACACAGTGTAAGCATGAAATTTCTATAGCTGCATTTCTCTTTTGGATTCTTCTATAAGTTCAAATTTTGGGATTAAGTGTTTTAAAAGTGGTGCATTTGTCAAATCCAGGTCTAATTAAGTAGAAATTGTCTGTATGCATTTACTTGGTTACGATGAATAAAACTTCATGAAGTAAATCCCAAGCTCATTCACTAACTATATGAGATGTAACAAACACTTCAGCATATGGATCTTGTGTCCTGATGAGGTTGTCATATCACTCCATCGGGTAGTTAGCCCGTTTTGAAGCCCAAATACAAATCCCTCCAAACGTACAGTTTCCTCTTGATTGGACTGATATTTAATAATCTAATTTTGAACCTTCCATACTGATATTTAAAACTCTATTTTCGCCCATGAGATCTTAGTTTAAGGACCCTGCAAGCTTAATTATTATATATTCCTTTAATCATATTCATATTCCTTTGCCAGATATCACAATTAATTGACTTAATTACGTCATTTAAAGGTAAAACTAAAATCTGGGTTTCATCCATAAAAATATGAATCTATAAATGTCAATCCAAGTTTATAGTTACACTCATATTTGCTGTATTTCTTAAAAAAGGAAAAAAAAAAAAAATTAACATGTCTTTATGAGGCCAGGCTGTAATTACTTAATAATCATATTCTAATTTAAACTTAAAAAATGTTATACATGCATGCAAACTATTCATATATAGAGTAATTCATATTGAGTAATGCTTGAATATTGTCGATGTCAGATCACCCATTTTAATTTCTTACATTAATTTTATTTTTATTTTTATTGCTCAAATTACATGATTTTACCTCAGTTGAATCTGTATAATCTCGCATAAAGAGTTGAAATTTAAAAATTCATATATATTTATATTTTAGTTAAAACTATAAATCTTATTAGAGACTGAAATGTTGGTGAGCATAGGGTTAATTAAGAGTAAATTACTTTATTGACAGATCACCCAGACCCATCACACAAGTTTACAGGATGGGAAACAAAGGGAATTATTAAGATTAATATTATACATACAATATTTTTCATATAATATGACGTGACAAAAGATAATTGGGTAAAATTTTATTTTTAATTTAAAATCAGTCAATCGTCTTTTACCACATCATGTTGTATGAGAAATGTTGTATGTGCAGTATTATGGAATAATTAATTACTTATACACTGTTGGTGAATTAGAGTTTTCTCAATTGCAAAACTTAGGGTTTTCAACTTGGGTGTGTTCCTTCCTTTGTATTCTTCGTTGTTCTTTATTCATCCATTGTACATTCTTGGTGATTGAGTAATGAAAATACCTATTGTGAGCTTAGAGAGTGGATGGAGGTTGCAAAGCCGAACCACTATAATTTACCGTGTTCTGTGTTCTTTTTTGGTTGCTTATTTCTTTCATTTTGATTAATCAATTAGTCTATTGATTGTGTCATTTAGGCTGAAAGTGTTAATTAGTAAACCCTTAGGATCCTAACAAATTGGTATCAGAGCTCGGTTCAGGGCTTTGTTAGGGTTTTACTGATTTACTCTTATTTTAGTGTAGCTTAGAAGTCTATTGTTTAGTTCTCTTTTTCATTGTGTCTGTATACTTTTCTGTTTGTCAACTCTATGAGAAAAAATATGTCAACTAAATTTGAGCTTGAAAAGTTTACAGGTGAAAATGATTTTGGCTTGTGGAAAATGAAAATAGAAGCAGTGCTAATCAAAGAAGGCTTGGCCTTAGCTTTAAAAGGAGAAGAATCGTTACCTAAAACATTGACTGTTACTGAAAAATAGGACATGTTGAACAAAGCCAAGAGCATATTGATCCTTGGCTTCGGTGATAAAGTTCTTTGAGAGGTGAAGAAAGAAAAGAATGTTGCTGAGATATGGAGCAGGTTAGATTCTCTTTACCAATCGAAAATTGTTCCAAATAGATTGTTTTTAAAACAGAGTCTGTTTAGGTTTAAAATAGATGAGCAAAAATCATTGAAGGATAATAAAGATGACTTTCTAAAGATTATACAAGACCTAGAAGGCATCTTTGTAGAGATTGCTGACGAGGATCAGGCTGTGATCCTATTAAACTCCTTACCTAAAACCTACTCAAACTTTGTGCAAACACTGAAATATGGTAGACAGACACTAAAGTTAGGAGAGGTTGTAGAGGCTATCAATGTTAAGGATAGTGAAAATAGGGTAAGGGAAAAACATATGAGTGATGGTGAGGGTCTTGTTGTTAGAGGAAGGTTTGAGAAGAAAAACTGGAAAAATGGAGGGCATAATAGACATAGGTCGACATCTAAATCATGAAAATGGAAGTGTTTCTTCTGTCATAAGTAGGATCACCTTAGGAGAGACTATCCTAAGAGAAAGAACAGGAAAAAATATGAAAAAGAAGGTGATAGTGGTAGTGCAAGGTAGAATTAGAGGGTTATGAAAGTTTAGAGGTCCTAGTTATCTCTGAAGGTAGAGTTAGTGATGAGTGGATACTAGACACTGGCTACACATATCACATGACACCAAACAAGGAGCGGTTTAGTTCCTTTCAACTTTTAGATGGTGGGAAAGTGATGATGGGGAACAACGCAGTTTGTCACATTAAGGGAATAGGCTCGGTTAGGCTGAATCTTCATAATGGATTAACCAAAACCCTCACTGATGTTAGACACATTCCTAATCTCAAAAGAAACCTCATTTCTCTTGGTATATTAGACTCAATAGGTCTAAGTTATAAGGCTGCAGATGGGACTATTAGTGTGTTGAAAGGGTCTTTAGTAGTCATGAAGGCTGAAAAGAAAAATGGGTTGTATGTGTTGAAAGGTATAATTGATATTGAAGTAGTTGTTATAGGTTCAATTGTGGGGCAGGATGAAACTACTTTGTGGCATCAACGACTTGCTCATGTTAGTGAGAAAGGCCTTGGAGAGCTTAGTAAAAAAGATATATTATGTGGGGATAAAACTGGGAATTTGACATTCTGTGAGCAATGTGTTTTTGGGAAAATGAGTAGAGTGAAGTTTGGGGTTGGTCAACATTACTCAAGCTCACCACTTGAGGATGTTCATTCGGATGTTTGGGGACCATCTAGGCATTATTCTCACGGAAGATGTAGATATTTTATTAGTTTTGTAGATGATTTCTCTAGGCATGTCTAGATCTATTTCCTTAAAACCAAAGATGAAGCATTTTCTAGGTTTAAGGAATGGAAAGTCATGGTTGAAACTCAGACTGGAAAGAAATTGAAGAAACTGAGGACTGATAATGGTCTAAAGTTTGTTAATGAGGAGTTTAACAATTACTGTAGAACTCATGGGATAGTTAGACATAAAATAGTTAGACATACCCCACAACAAAATAGTCTTTGTGCAAGAATGAACAAAACCATTCTAGAGAAGGTTAGAAGCATTATGTCATGTTCTAAGTTGTCAACCAAGTTCTGGGCAGAAGCAACTCACACTATAGTCTATTTTATAAATAGAACACCATCATCCGCTATAGGCTTTAAGGTTCCTCTTGAAAAATGGACTGGCCATTCTGTAGACTTGGGAAACCTTAGGGTCTGCTTGAGAGTTTTATGGTAGCGGTTATGAGGGTAAACCATCGTAACGGTTTTAAGAGTAAACTACCGTAATGGTTTTGAGGGGTTTTTAGTTGCGGTTTTTAAAACACCCAACCTATGCTTGAGA